GCTGGGATTAAAGGCGTGCGCCACCACTGCCTGGCTCTTATTCTGTCTCTAAATTCAACTTCTCAGCACCCAGCACCTCATGAGAGGATTCCTGGGTGGTTTTGTCATTTTGTGACCAGCTTATTGGGATAAGATCTCCAAGGTTGATTCACATGCTAAAATTACCTTCCTTTTTTAAGAAAAAATTACTATTTTTTTTTTTACTGTTTTCACTCATGTGGATGTTTTGTCTGTATATATGTTTGTATTCCACATGTATGCCTAGTGACCGAAGAAGCTTGATCCCCAAGAACTATAGTTTCAGGAGGTTGTGAGTCACCACATGGGCGCTGGGAATCAAACCTCGGTCTCTGAAAGAGCAGCCAGTGCTATAAACTGCGGAACTATCGCTCCAGCTCCAGTTCCCTTCCGTTTTAAAGCTGAGTAACCTTCTCTCGTCTTCCACATGACATGCTCAGCCTCAGTCCGCTTTTCAGTCTCTTGTACATTCTGAGTCACAGCTTCTGTACCAGAGAGTTATGCTTGGTTTAGAGTCAGAAACCAGAATTAATTCATCTTCCGTGGCTAATGCTTTGATCGGAGGAGATCGTTGTGGTTAGTTGATTTCAGGGTTCCTAGAAATAAAGCTATGAGGTTTTATAATCATAGTAGGAAGCCTTCTCAGGCTCTCCCCACTGGTCTGCACGACCTCCTTAGCATAGTGTTTTCTCACTTCTGTGAAGATGTCTCAAGTAGCTCTCATTGTGTCAGGGGACCTTGGATGGAAATTACCTTCTCTTGAGAGCTAGTCACGGTGGTTTCTGGCCATGGCAGAAGTCATGCTGGGGTGGAAGGATTGTGAAATGTCTTTTGCTACTTTCTTCCTTAAATTCTTCATGTGATGCCTTGGGGCAGGCATCCTGCCTCATGCTCTGAGAAAACTGGTGCAGCCTCACTCGTGGCCCTCAGAGCTCCTAGACAGCCCAGAGTCAGAGTGTGCTGTCTTCACCAGGGCAGACTCTTTGCAGGCCTTCACCTTCCTTTGGCTTTCAAATTTTTTTTTTTAAGATTTATTTATTATGTATACAGTGTTCTGTCTGTATCCTTGCTGGCCAGATGGCCAGAAAAGGGCACCAGATCTCATTACAGATGGCTGTGAGCCACCATGTGGTTGCTGGGAATTGAACTCAGGACCTCTGGAAGAGCAGTCAGTGCTCTTAACCTCTGAGCCATCTCTCCAGCCCATTGGCTTTCAATTTTTAAAACTCTGTTTAAATAATTTTGTGTTGTGTTTTGCCTGCATGTATGTCTTTGTACCGTGTACATGCACAAGTGGTATTGAACTCACAGAAATCCACTTACGTCTGCCTCCCAAGTGCTACCATACCTAGCCTGATCTGTTACTTTGCCTGTCTCTGCAGACACTTTCTGTGCTTTTTGAAACATTATTCATTTATTTGTTTGGAAGTTTTTTTCACAGGTTCTGACTATGGAACCTTGCCTGGCCTGGAACTCCATATGTAAAACTTGAACTTCCTCGGATCCTCTTGCCTCTGCCTCCCAAGTGCTAGGATTAGGTGTATACCACTACAGTCAGAATATGTTTTTATTAAAAAGAAAGGTCCCTCTTCTGATTCCTGGCCTGTAAGGTTCCTCATGGCTGGGGCATCTGTCATGTGGATTAAACTCTTTCCTGTGTTCTAACCTGGCCTGTTTGTGTCCTCCTGAAAATTTGAACTCTTATTTCTAAGACACCACTGCTGTTATTGATGTCTCTTAGCAGGCATCCTCACAAGAACTCTTTCCTTGGCCAGGCAGTGGTGGTGCACACCTTTAATCCCAGCACTTGGGAGGCAAAGACAGGTAATCTCTGTGAGTTTGAGGCCAGCCTGGGCTACAGAGTGAGCTCCAAGATAGGCTCTAAAGCCACAGAGAAACCACATCTCAGAAACTCAAAACAAAACAAAACAAAAAAAAACCCAAAAAGAACTCCTTCCTTAGAAACTTCCTCAGACTCAAAATTTTAAACCATGAGCCTGTCTTCTGTGTGGAGCCTGGGATAGAGAGGAGGCAGACGCGGATCCAGAAAGACCAGCTAGGAGACTATTGTTGCAAATATTGTTAACTTGACGAGTGCTAGAATTACCTACAAATAAACTTGTAGGACTGTCTGTGAGGAAACTTCTAGATCAGTTTAACTGCAGTGGGAAGACCCTTCTTAACTGTGGGCGACACCGTTCCCTGGGGTAGGATCTAGACTAAGAAGGAGAACGTGCTCTGAGCACCTGCGTTCACCTCCCTGCTTCCTGACCGCAGGCACAGCGTGAGCCCGTCCTTGTCCCTCTCACAGCCTTCCTGGCCTTCCCTCCCGCTCTCCCCTAGTTCTACAGCGAGTCGGGCATGCCCACCAAACACCTCTCCGACAGCGTGTGTGCCGTGTGTGGGCAGCAGATCTTCGTGGATGTCAATGAAGAGGGCATCATCGAGAACACGTACAGGCTCTCCTGCAATCACGTGTATCCTGCCTTGTGCTGATCTCTCCTGAACCCGTGCTCCAGCCATGGTAGGAAGAGGGTGGCATGACCCTGCTATGTGGTCCAGAGTTGGGGTATAGGCGAGCCGTGACAGAAACTTCAGCCTTTCTGTCGCCCTTTCTTCCAGAGTGGCACTGCCCTTAGTGAAAGGTGGTCACGGACTGCCAGGTCCTAGAGAGCCTGCAGCTGCAGCTAGCGAGGCCACTCAAGCTGACGTGTGTCACAGAGAAGGAGACCCTCTGCTGAAATGCTTCAGTTTAGAGTCTAATCGCTTTCTGAGGATTTGATCTCATCTTGATCTTGTGTTTACTAAGTGCTCATCCTGTGCCATGTTGGGAACTGTGTATTGTCTCCATCCTGGCTCATAGCTACCATGTAAATAAGGATCATTGCTCTCACTCCCCTGTGAGGGAACATTCAGAGAGAAGGAACTCCCCAAATTACACAGCTGTATGTAAGGAAGGAGTGAAGCTTTTATGTGAACCTCTCTCTGGAGCTGCCACTCTGGCATGCTGAGATCCAGGATGGGGCTAAAGTGTCAGTTTGGCTCTCTGCCACTTCCCTTGACCAATGGTGCTCAGATTCCATGAGTTCTGTATCCGAGGCTGGTGCATCGTGGGAAAGAAACAGACGTGTCCCTACTGCAAGGAGAAGGTGGACCTGAAGAGGATGTTCAGCAATCCGTATCCTTTAAGTCCTTCTGGGAGTGGCTGGTGGGAGGAAGGCGCTCTCAGTGTCTGCATCCCGCGGGGCCACCCGCCGCCTCCACCTCGAGTTTGTTTACTCCTCAGTTTGAGGCAGCCAGGAAGCTCAACTGCCCATCATAAATTACTAACAAAAGCAGCCACTGCACCTTGTCATGTGTCTGCTTCCTCTCTAGAAAGTTCTTCACCTGAATCATCACTCTTGATTCCCTGGCAGCCCTAAGAGGGAGTGCCGCCTTCCCCACGGTGTGTGCACCCAGACCTCCAGTCCTTCTTCTCTCCCTCCCGATTCTCTGGGTTTAGTGTTTCACCCCAACATGGAGAGCTGAGAGAAGCTGGGTAGCTTTATTTTCTCTGGGCTATGGAGCAGCATAAAACTGTAGGCAAATCCAAGGACGGCCTCACCACCCTGCTGAATGAACCTAACAGCTCTTGCATATAACCTCGCCTCTGGTCCTTAACACCCTCCCAGCTGGGAGAGGCCTCACGTCATGTACGGACAACTGCTGGACTGGCTTCGCTACTTGGTGGCCTGGCAGCCTGTCATCATTGGCCTGGTTCAAGGCATCAGCTACATTCTGGGCCTAGAATAAACAGCAGCCACAGCGTTGGAGAACCCACCCCACCTGCCATGGGCCTCAGGGCACTTCCCTTGCTGCCCGTGAAGACTTGGGTGGGAAAGACTCAAAGGCACTTTGGGCCACTCAGGACCTCCTCAACTGGGTCTGGTTTGGGGGTGGGAATGTTGGAGAACCAGCCAGTGGGGCTGTTAGCAGCGGGGGCTTTTTAAAAGAAAATTATTTTGATGAATATATTTAAATTTTTTTATTGTGGAGCATAGGAATTGTCCCCCACCCCTAGGCCTTACCCTGCCTGAACATGGTAGGGCAGAGCTGTTGGTCGGGAGGAGTCTTCTCACCTCTGGCTGAGAGCAGTGGCTTTTCTGCTGGCTGAGTGCTTCAGCCTACCCCTCCCCTCCCTTCCCTCTGTAAGGCGCAAACCTGGTTTGCACTCAGCGTACAAGAGCTCAGACTGGTGCCGAAGACCCAGTTCTGAGCAGCGAGTGCCCTCTTCAGCTGTCTGGGATACGAGGTGGCTGTTGTACATGACTGTTCCCTTTTTGTCTGGAAACTCAAGACTGAGCATGGCAAAACTGATGACTTTTCCAACTAGGGAAGCCCTGTGACCCCATGTTTTGGGACAACTGGAAGAGTGAGTAGCATGGATTGTCTGCCACTGAGCAGGGCTGTTGCCCTGCAGGGTATGGAAGCCATCCGTAGGCTGTGGAAGCTACTTTGGTAGCAGTGAGTGTTGCAGCTTCTTGAGCCTGGAAGTGGAAACGTGCCAAAGGCTACTCTGCAAAGTGTGTGTGTGCTGTGTGTGCGCAGAGCAGACAGACTGATGGGTACCAATGTCTGCCAGTCATCACTGTGCCCTTGAAGCTAAGCAGAGATTCCCAGACTAGGGAACAGCCCTATGGAGGCGTGGTCATTTGTGGGGTCTTCCTGGGCCTGATGGTAGGAGTGGTGGGTGGATAGGAAGAATAAGACCCTAGTGAGCACAGGTTTGAAAAGGGGGGCGTTTGGAGACAGTGGGAGGGCACCGTGGGTCCACAGCACGGTCTGTCTAGGGCCTTGTTTTCACCTTTGAATAAAGCTCCATGAGCTGGGCTGGAAAGCTTTTCTTTTTGCCACTCTTTCCTGGGACCTCTGGGGTGTCTTGCCTCTCGCACCTGAGAGCTGGGGCCTACAGTTGTGAACACTGCGTTTCCACCCCTGCCCCCTATGTGTGTAGTTCCTGTTCTTGGGCATTAGGGGCCCTGAGGCTTCACTGAGCCCCCCTTTCAGACTGAGGTGACTGAGACTAGTACCCCCAACTCCTCAGCCTGTTCCTGTATCCTCAAGCCTTGGGAATGGGAGCTGAGCAAAGGGCCCAGAGATCGATCACTCTTCCTTTGTCCCCTTCTTCCCTAAGGTCAAGGCTGCTTTCCTGCTGCATCAGTCCTGAGTCTCACAACCTTCTCTGGGCCACCTCTGGTCTCAGGTTCCTCTTCCTGCACCTCCACCCATCCCCCAGTCTCTAAGAATCCCTGTCGCCCCCCACCCCACCCCCAGGGGAGTGCAGCCTCTGGTCTCTGGATCGACTCTCCCTGCAGTCTGCAGCCTAGGTGGGAGAAGGTGGGTGGAGCTGCTCAGAGCAGTGAAAGTAGCACACAGACACAGCTCTCAGCCTCCTGCATCCGAATCAGTTATGAATCTTTGTTCCAAACCGGGTCCATCTCCCTACCTGTTGTCAGCAGCTTCCCCGTTGATCGCATACTTACCCCAGGTGCATGAGCCAGAAGCTCTGGCCTAAAGATTAGCACAGCTTCAGATGACCAGATTCCACGTTTATACCTGCCAAGTCCCAGCCCCCAAGCTACTGGTGCCTTCCTGGCTCTTTAGGGTCAGCTGTGTTAGTGGCTGGGCGCGTTGTACACCAACCAGACAGGAAAGCTGCTGTTTCTTGTGGTGAGAGTTTTGGGGCCAGGCAGTCACACTGAGTTTCGGAGCTCCCAGAAGCTCTTCAAGGCGTTAGAGCCAGGGGGAAAGATCTAGATTTAACCAGTGAGCCTACCCGTTCCGTGGCTCCTGTGCCTGTCAGGGTGAGCCTGAGACAGCTGACCTTGGGGCTGGCTCAGTGACCTTGGGCCAGTATAGCATTGAGGGTAAAAAGGTCAGTGATTCAATTTGGGGTCCCCAGTACCAATTAACATCGACTTCTTGGGCACTGTTATGGAGAAAGTAAAGGCTTGACTCTACAGGAAGTTAGCTGAAGGGTGAGGGGGTACCACCATCCTGACCCTTGGCAAGGCAGCACTCATCTGTCTCACCTCTCAGGGGGCTTGGTGTGAGGTGAGAATCTGGAGAGGGACCTGGGAAATCTGTCTAGTGTGAGCTGTGGTTCAAGGGGCGGAGCAGCCTGTTTGTTTGGGATTGGGATTCCTACAGAGGAAGTGAAAGTGAAATCGTTGGGAGCTTTCTCAGAAGCGGACTGCATCCTGCCCTTCCCAGAAGGAGGGCTCTCAACGGAGACGGCTGCTTCCCAGGTAAGTCCCTGGCTTTGTGCCTTTCTCCTCCCTAACCTCTCTGGGTAAGATTGGATTGGGGAACTGTTATATAAATGCTGTTTGGAGCTGGTATGAGAGGAAATTGTTACTAGGTAACAGCAGTGTCTTAAGTGCGAAGGCCCGGCTTGTGGCTCTAGGCCTGCCCTCTGAAGTACCAGAGGCTCAAATGGACTGTCGGGAGGGAAGGAACCTGAGAAGATGTGGGGCTGGCTGAACTTGACTCTCCCTTTCCAGAAGAAGTTACAGACACCAGGCTTGCTTGCTTCTGACACAGTCATCACGACCATGAGACACTGTCGGACAACAGGTGGGACATGGGGCTTTGTGGGGTCATCCTAATAGAATGGAGCAATGTGGCTAACTTGGCCATCACCCGCAAGATGTGCTATTGCTCTAAGCCTCTTGTAGCTGCTTTGGTCTGGCTCCACTTCAAGGCTTCTTTGCCGGGCTAAAGGGTTTCCACCCATTCTGATGCCTTGTGACAGCCCAGGAGTATCTGGGTGGAGGTTTGTGTCTGACCAAAGCAGGTGCTAGGATGTTGAGCTTTCCATCTGCAATTCTGTTCCTCAGACCCTAGTTCTTGGTGGGTCCTGCTTCTCTATGTCCATGTCGTCATTCTGGCCAGAGGCACGTGTGCACCTCAGACAAAGGACCCGTGCTCTTCCTGGTCTCCAGCAGGCCCACCTCAGCGGTACCCAGCACTGCACGTGATCTGGCCAGAGGAAGAAGTGCCACTGAGTAAGGAGCGGTTACGGGAGCCCAAGAGGTTAGAGTTGTCAGAGGTCAGGGGTTAGGCTGACTGAGGAATGTGCCATCCACCTGCCGAGAAGCACCAGCTTGGCTCTGGTCACCTTTCTACTGCCCAGCTCCGAGGATGGTTCCTGTAGGACTGTAGCCCTCCCAGGGCCTTCCCCTGCCTGCCTGCCTTCTGGCCATCTGAGAGCAACATCAGCCTGCTAGCATGACCCAAGGAAGGAGGCACAGAAGTGGAAGACTTTGATGAACTCAGGACATTTTCTACATAGGCTTAGGGAAATTGATGCCTGTAATATTAAATATTCCCTTTTAATATTTTCCTGCTTAAGTGGGGCACAGGTATTATAGGAGCTGGCGGGGTAGGGGGCCTCTGATAGAATAACTAATACCATATGTGCTCCTAGATGGAACGCTGACCTTGTCCTGTGCTGCCTGCAGCCGCTTCCCCTACTTGAGCATCCTCTACTGGCTGGGCAATGGTTCCTTCATTGAGCACCTCCCAGGCCGGCTGAGGGAGGGTCACACAAGGTGAGGGTCACAGCAGTCAGGCTAGTAGGAGGGAGACATCCCCTACAACCCTCTCATGATTCTCTTCTGCCTCTGCAGTCGGGAACACAGGAACACCAGCACTTGGTTACGGAGAGCCTTGGTGCTAGAGGAACTGAGCCCCACCCTACGAAGCACCAACTTCTCCTGTCTGTTTGTGGACCCTGGACAGGTGACCCAGTATCACATCGTTCTGGCCCAGCTCTGGGTAAGGACCCAGAAGAAAGGCATCCGGGAAACTCTGCTGTCTGGGGAAGAAAGGACAGGCTTTGCCAGGACAGTAAGTGAGGAACTCCTCCTCAGCTCTGACCTTGTGTGCCTTTACTTCCTCAGGATGGGGTGAAAACAGTCCCTACCCCTTCTCAAGAAATCCTCTCCAGCCACAGCCCAGGACCCACGTCAGCAGGGCCAGGGGTCAGCATGCAGCCAGCCACAGCATGGCCTTGACTGGAGCCTGGCTCTCATCCACCTGGAGGGTGAAGGCTCCACCATAGGCTTTGCTCGCCCCCATGCAGCTGAACCTCAAACTCAAGCTCCATTTCTACCTAGAATATCATAGTAATTAAATTAGATTTCCCCCTACTTGTCCCTCTGTCCATGCGCGCTAACTTCTAACGTCGTCTTCACCCCACTGGTGACCTTGGAGACCTGCTGGTGCCTTAGCCAAGCAATAGGAGCTCTGCCTACAACTCCACATTGACTTTCCAGAGGCTTCTCAGGGCTCACATTCTGCATCGATTCAGCGGTGAACCTGGTCGAGGTGTCATTCTGACAAGATCTACCTCGGCTCTGGCCAGTCTGCACTGACTTCATTATTTATAGGTGGTTTTGTTTCCTCATTTGCCCTAATGTCCTAAGGAAGGGATGGGACAATGGCTGCTTCAGGTCACAACTGTAGCTAATCTCAGCAGGGCCCACAATGAGTTCTCAGTCTGATGTATTTTAGGCCCTAGTGCTGTCCACAGGAATGCTGCCTGTCTCAGGGAGGGGCAGGGGACGCTGACTCTCATGCCAAGTAGAAATTCAAGATAGATAACACAAACCCTTGACATAGAAAACAACCCATAGTGTTAGTTAGGAACAGGGACCAGAAATGGAATGTGGAAAGGTCCCAGGAAGCCAGATAAGAAAGCTCCAGAGAGCGGTCAGTTCCCTCCTTCCCCCATACCCATACAGAGAGCACAGTACTCAAGGGAGAAAAATAGACTTTATTTACAATTAATAACATTTTAAAAAAGACCCATCCCTGGCCCTTAAAAGCCTTCCCATAGTTCCATATCTCCCACCCCAGTGCAAGTCTGGGGAAGGTGAAGTATGAGCTACCATGGAAGGCCGCCCCCATCCCACCCCTGAGACCCAGGACCCACCTGTCCTGGAAAAGAGCATCCAGGTAGGTGTGTCCTTGTGTAGATGGGAGTAGGAAGAGCAGAGGCTCCTACCAGGTCAAGCCCAATCCTAGGGTTCAAGAGCAAAGAACCAGGTACCAGGCAAGGGTGCAGGCAAGCATCACTGTGTCTGGGGGGCTGGCCGCCATCGGCCCGGGAGCTGAGAGAAGGCACTGAGAGGGACAGTAGAAGGAAAAGGACCAGGTAGGGCCACGCACTGGTGTTGACTCTTTAATGCTTTGCCTGAAAAAGAGAGATAGTCACTTGGCCAGATTGTCTCGTGTTGCCAGCCTCTATTAGCTCAGAAAACCCCTCCCTTTGTGCCCCATAAACACCCATCTTTATTAGTTGCCAACTATGCCTAAGTGGTGCCCTCAATTATGAATGGCTACCCAGGACGAAGTACCTCTTCTTGTGCCCCTCACCCCCTCCACTGGTCTAGCTTGGCCCTGCTTTGGATGCTGCCCTGAAGAGTACTCAGTCTAGGGGGTGGTCTCCTTTTACTGTGTTACCTTGCCCTTGGCACGAGGGGTAGCAGTGCTGGCAATGCGGGGAGAGCGGCGGGTTCCACTGCGAGTATTGGGAGAGACCTTCACTGGGGTCTTCTTGGAAGCTCCTCGCCGTAGAAGACTATTTCCCAGCCTCTTGGGTGTGTTAAGGATGCTGAAGGCCATTGACTGGCGCCGGTCCACCTGTGGGGAACGGTTTGTCAACCGGCTACTTTGGGGCTCTGCCAGCAAGGCTTCATTTGGCCTTCCTTCCTTCCTCCCCTTCAGTCCCAGCCTAACCTGGACTGGAGCTGCTTTCTTCTGGGCTTCAACAGTGCTCTGCTTACGTCCTTCATGCCGGTCCCTGGGAGTCAGGGGCCGTGGGAAGCAGCTGGTCGCTTTCTTGGACTGTGAGGCAGAAGACAATGAGACAGTCACCTTCCTCATCTCCTGACAGAGGCCGTTCCAGCAGTCCCATTGCAAGATTTCCCTCGCATTTACTACCTAAGACATGGTGAGAACAGATCACAGATGCTCGTGCATCACTTACCTCAGGAGTGCCGGGGCCCTGGTGGGTCTCTAAGGAGATCCGTTTGCGCTGCTGCCGGGTGGTAATTCCAAGACCCTCAGCGATCTGGGTTGTCTGCATGCTGGCTCGGCGTAAGGTTTCCTGGGGGTCTCCGGTTTTCATCTCCTCATCAGTGATGGTGGCCAGGTTCGTGGAAGGCTGCATGGAACATGAGGAAGCAACCATGTGCCCCAGCTGTCTGAAGCAGGGCACACAACACTGCCACACAACACTGAAGAGCTGGATCTACCTATGAGGAATAGCTAGAAGTCTCAAGCAGTCTCAATCTGACTTCACTCCTGGGTGACTGCTGCCATCTGTTCCATGTAGAAACATGAGAGACATTTCCAATAGGCCAAAGACCCAGCATACATATTCGGGCTAGCCACTTCAGTCAGTGTGGGAGGCTTGAGGTGACCCTGCATCTCACCCTAGACTCCAGAGGGTAGCAGGTCTTCAGGTGCGGGGGGCACACTCGGTTGCGCTGCTGCAGCTCTGCGATGCGGTTCCAGTCGTCCAACTGCTCAGGCTCATCCTGACAAGTCCCCATGTAGAAGCTGTTCCTTCCTATGATGGACAGGATATTAGGGCACGCAGCTGCAGCTGCACACTGTCTACTAACCTGGCCAGACCTTTTGGACCCCGTTCCCTCCCACCTTGAGGAGCTTCAAGCTGGATACACAGTCCTGTTCTGTGTCACTGACAGATGAAAAGGGGCACCGCCATCAGACCATTTGTCTCAGAGAGTGCATGAACAGAGGCTGCAGCACCTTATTTACCTGTCAAGGCTAACTGAGGGTCATGAATTGATAGCCAAGGACCTAAAGGGCAACTTTCAAGAAATTTTGACAGCCTGACCTTCCCAAAGCTTGCGGTCTCACAGAAAGTAGCCTAAAGAACCCCTAGAGTGCCGGTTATCTCTCACACTGGGAACCGGAAGCGATCAGTGAACATCCCTGGTCCCAACAGCTCCTTTGCAGTCCTAGGACAGGGAAGGCCTGAGGTGGCAGGGGCAAGTGAGGGCCAGAAGTTCTGGTACAGGAAGGCCTGCCTTGAGCTTTTGAAATCGCGCTCTTCCCTATGCCAAGATCCGCTCCCGGTCTTGTTTGGGGTTGTGGTAAATTCCCGCAGTCTCCTCACCTTGGGGGGCCCCACTGGACATCCTGGCCTGGGAGCGACGGGCAGAGCTTCGAGTGGTAGGCCGGTAACCAGGCAGGCTGAGCAGAGCCGAGTTGCCATCGTCAGGAGACCCCAAACGGGCCAGAGACTGGGTGGAGGAGGTGGCTCGCAAGCTGGCCTGGGGGGCAGGGGCAGACTGCGTGCTGTAGAAGGATGAGTTGGCGCTGTCTGGCTCTTCCACATCCAGTTTCTGGAAGGACGAATCATTGCAGTAATACTATAGCACCACCTCTGTCCCAAAGCTCTCAGATGCCACAATACAGCTGTTGTTTCCACACTGCTTTAAAGGGCTCTTTGGACAGCAAGCGTGGAAGCAGGCCACACGGCCAGAAGCTGAGGTTGTCAAGACCCTTCTACCCATAACACTTTGAAGGAGGCATTATCATTTATCAGCCTATGTCAGAGGTAAGAAGTAAGGTGGCAGGTAGCAGTAGCTAGGCTAAGAGGCAGCCCCCTATCTCCTGAGGTAGCGAGCTGGTCTCAGCCCACAGCCTCTGCTGTCACTGCATCCAAGGTTCCCGGGGTCTGAACATCATCAACACTCCCCAATTCTCAGTAGAAGGCATCTATTCTCCAGTCACTGTGATACAACAAACCCAGGTCTAGAAGTAGCAGTCCATGCCAAGCTCCATCCTGACTGCATGGGGGCGCCAGAAGCTCAGGGTTGCCTGCTAGTTTCTCTATTATGCTCCTCTCCTCAGTAAGTCATCCCTGTGTGTTCCTGACTGAGCCCCACGCCCAGGAGCCTAACCTTGGTCATGGTAATGTTGATGATTTGTGTGGTGCGCCGGCGAGCAGAGCGGGTCTTACAGCCAGAGTCGGGGAACGCATCCCCCAGGGAGTCCAGGCTACTCTCTAAGGGGGCCTGGCCCCGAGCTGGAATGGGGGTGAAGTAGAGACTCTCCAGGGATTCCACCTTGGGGGGCAGTCGCTGGGAGATGGGTGAAGCTGGCTCTCCAGGGACACTGGTGCCATCTGGCTGGGTACGAGGCAGCTTGCTGTAGAGAAAGCAATCTCCTGAGATGCAGCTCCTGGGCGGGAAGGCAGTCTGTCTGTCCACTAGCCCCAAAGTGACTGTTTCTTACACTGACGTGTAAATGTGGTAAGCATACTCTCACTGATATTTCCAAGATACTAAAAAGGAACCTTGACTGAGCCTTCTTAGTCCACTCTTGGCTGCTTCTAACCCTTTCATACTGGCAGCTCTCAGATCTCCACTCTAGCCCAAGCCCTGCTCTCCAGGCCAGACAGCCATGAGCCTAGACCTCCGCCAGATGCCACAACTGTTCCACAACTGTCACTCTGAACCCTCTCTCCATGTTCTTTCTCATTTTTCTCCCAGTTTAGTGAGTAGGGATAGCTTCACAGGTCCCCAGCCATGAATGTGGGTATAATTTGACCTCTTCTGCTACCCTCAATCAAAGTCGGCATTCTAAGAAGCTCTCCCAGCTGCACACCTCTCCACAGATCTCACCTACACTTAGACTGGGAGATGCTGCAGAGTGGTGACAAGCTGCCAGGTTCAGTCCTGAGCTCCATCAGTGTGGAAGCTTAGGCCAGTGACTGCCCCTCTACACCCCAGTCTGGCTAAGGAGACATGATGGGTGAATACAGCCTACCTAAGATGCTTGCTGGAGTGGGGGGAATAAAGTAGTCAGCACCCCAGCATGCAGTAAGTTCAGTGCTAACATTTGACAGAGCAGCAGCTGTACTTCCACCCTGGTCTTCTATGCGATCAGGAAACTAGATACAAAGCCAACCTTGCAGTCCTCAATTTCAGCACTTCTGAGGTCCACTGGTCTTTAGGATCAAATCCAGCCAGGCTCTGGGCTTTCAGGCCGACTTGACCTCACAATACAGGCTGCTCCTCCACCCCTCCACATCTGTGCAATCTATCTAAGCTCATGAAAGAGCCTTTTCCAAGGCTTTCCTAGCTGCCCCACTTCCTTTTCACTT